TATATCCCGATATCCCGTATTTTTTTTCTCGATGAGGTATCAGGAAAAATCACATCGCACTCAGGGGGCAATATCTCTATTTTGTAGAATTGCGGGCAAAAACAGAAATGCGAAAAACTGGGGCCTGTAGTGCGACGTTTTCTGTATTTGTATATATGTATGCACACCCCATAAACCCAGTTTCCATTTCATGTTCCATTTGCGTTCCCATCTTGTTTACCACCCCCCAAAGAGATATGATGACTCCGCACTAGTGACTTAGCAAGTAGGCCACAACCCCTAGTCAAACCCTAAACCCCTTACAAAACCCTAGCCCTAAGCCTTAATCCCTAAACCCCCAACCCTAAACCCCAGAAAGGAATATGACTCGGTACTTTATCGAGCTTCTGGGGGAGCCACCTCTCCCTGCGGAGCTACTAAGCAGGGTCGCAGCCTCAGCTTCATTTGAGCTGTAGTCTAAACTCTTTGAAGGGGGGATATGTAGGGTATTATATAGTGGATTATTCTCGGGGTTATGAAAGGGGTTACACAGGGGATTACATAGTGGACTATTCTTGGGGGTATTAAGAGGGATACTGGGAGTCTAGACAATGTCTCAGGTGGTTGGTCCCCTCAAAGGGGCTTCATACGGCATATAGGGTTTAAGGAGTTCGGTCAGTGTGGCCCCCACCTTTCAAATCCCCACCTGTTTCCTTATCAGTCTCAGGCTTCTGCTGTGGTATGCTAGGCAACATGGGATTTTAGTACTACTGGCAATAATACTGGCAATGATAGTGGTGGTAGCTTGGGTACTGCCTCCACTCTGTAACGGTTGGAGAGTATCTATATTATTTTTAGATAGAGCCCTTAGTATGACCACTATTCTAGACTCTTAATGGGTGGGGTGTGGGCGGGACCCAAGTGATACCTCAAGTGGCAGGGGGGGGTTGAGTGCAGGAGGTTTTTCGAGCTGTATGACAGCGTTCCCAGATGTATGGCTAGCATTAGCATTGTTTAGGGCTTAGCGTGTAGGGTTTAGGGTTTAGGGCTGTTACTACGCTGACTGTCATATTGTTTTATGCTCATGCTGTGACAGAAATTTTTGTGCTTGTCAGGCATCCTCCAAGACCTGTCTAACTCTTCCCTAGGCATCATCCTGGGCTATCAGGAGCTATCATGCCAGAAGTCCTATCGGAAATTCCAGAAGCGGAGAGCCTAAAACATGATTATCCTCAATTGACAGTTCTATGAGAGGATCCCAAGAACTTGGAAACCCCCATATGAAGGTTGAGCCAATGGCCATGCAATCTCTGAGGTCGCAAAGAAGAAGTGGTGGTGCGGCAGCCTGTGTGGGGGAGTGAACGATACTCTTCCTGGAATGGGCTTGACATGGAGCAAGCATCCGCACAGAATAACCTTGAAGGACGTGCACCGTGCAACATGTAGCAAGGCTTGTTTAAACCCTCAAAACCCCTAAGTCCTAAACCGCAGTAAGCAAAAGTGGGCAGTGGGTCCATACAATATTCCCTGAATGGCCCCTTGTAATACGACTCGCCCATTCCCTGATAAGCATCAGGAAGCAATCCCCTCCTGCTACTACAAAACCCCCCATACCCCCCCCCCCATAGTACATATTCCCCATATATTGTAATGTACCACAAGGGTGTATATTTAATATTAGGGGGGTTATGGAGGGTTCAAGACTAGGGGAGGGGATCAAACCCTAAACCAGAAAACTACAGGCATGGTCCGGATCTTCATGCTTGCTTCTGGGAGCTCGCATAGGGGAGTTTCTCAAAATGGTTTCTCTACATCCTTCATAAGGGTTTAGGGCTTCGGGGTCTCTATATCCCTTACAAGGACCCCCCATAATCCTTTCTAATCTCCAAAATGTCTCCAGGATCCCAGGTTGATCCTATTTTGGGAAACTCCCATAGAAGGCTGTTGCGATTTTATTTGAACTTAAGACAACCAGAACAAGTCCCGGGGCCGGTGCCCCGGCAGAAGTTGGATGAAAGGTTTTCATTAGGAGGACCCCCCACCCTGTAATAGTGGTATAATGAGAATATAAGAGGACCCTAATGTAATCCCTATTACCCCTTATTGTCACTATTACTGGGTGGGGGGGTCCACCTAAGGTCTTCATTTGCGTGAACAGCAGCCAGCTCTCCTTGAGCCTAAACTTTTGTTCAAAAGAGTTTTGCATGTTGTGAAAACACCCCCCCACAAGGGTACCCCTAATTCTGGGAAACCCTCAGCACTACACATCCCCATATATTCTACATCCCTATATATCCCTATATAACCCTTACATCCCCCACTTTGAAGGTACCCCTAACTTCCCGACTCAACCACCAATTCTTTGTTTGTGCTTCCATTGGTAGCCCAGGAGCATGTGGCCGGGGTCCGTCGAGATGGATGATAAGGGATGGTGGGCATTTGGGAGTTTCCCAAAATTAGGGGCACCTTCAAACAGGGATATAGGGATTATATAGGGATATACAGGGAGCTATGTAATATATAGGGATATGTAGGGCTGTCCTTATAATAGGGGTTGTGGTATCCCTTAACCCTAAACTCTAGGGTCTATATTGGGGTCCCCTCTTTGGGGAGGTAACCTCTCTCTTCCGAGTTACCCGGATCCTTACTAGACAAATCCCCCAAAAACGCTAAACCCAGCGTATCAGGGACCCCAACATGGAGCCTCATAGGGTTTGGGGCTCGAGGGCGGTTTAGGGTTTCAGGGTTTAGGGCATAAGGGTTCCGGGTTTAGGGTTAAAGGTTTAGGGTTTAGGGTTTTTCCTCATGGACTTCCCCACACAAAAACTAGTGTTTTGAGGAAATACTTTGAAGCAACAGGTGCATTTCCGTGTCACCACTGACCACTCCATGGCTCAACGGGACTTTCGTCTTTCTGTCGGCGTCTGGGTCAGAAGTATTTCGCTTAGGGCCTAAGGGTTTTGGATACTTTCGGGGCCTTTGCATGGGTTTATGTAGGGATGTATGGGGGTTAGCGTTCACGGCCCAGGAGAAAATGAGAATCAAACGGATAAGAATGAAAGTCTGGAGTATAGTCTGGTAGAGCTCTGGGTTCTGGATCAGGGGATAACTTGCAAGGGATAACTAGGGTTTCAGGGTTGAGGGTTTCGGGGTTGCGGGCTCAAGGAATTCTATGGGGCATTAACGCAATGTTGCAGAACAAATGCAAAAGAACGTGCAAAGAGTTAAATGGGAACTGGGACTAATCAAGTCGAGTTTGTGTCATGGTCTTCGGTGAGTGTAGTAGGGTTCCTGAGGAATATTGGTAAGTGTAGATGTTTGGTGTTTAGTCGGGGAGACTTTGAATTTATAGTTCCTTGCATATACTAGCAGACCAACCGTTTTAAGGCGAGCGCAGTATCCAAAGTATTCAGATGCTTCTGTTTTGGCTTTCTGCTTTGAACAAAGCCATTACATACCTACTGTAACGACTACGACAACACAGCAGTGTGCACTTTCCCGTATCAGTGGGAAGGAGAATGGAAGCTACTATGAGGGTATGAGAAGAAGGCTCCAAGTAAACCTTAAACTCTAAACTAGGCCTAGGCAAGATTGCTGCTAAGGGGCTCGAATTTAGGTGCCAGAAGGAGGAAACCCCTGATTTCCTAGAGCCATATGATGGCCGAGTCATCTACTTAACCCGCCCTCTATAAAACCCCAGTGCCCATTTCATGTTCCACTTGAGTTTCCATTTCATTCTCCATTACTTCGGATGATACCCGCAAGACCCGTACAATCCGTACATAGCGCCTATATACCATTGGCTAATCCCTACATGACCCAGCCCCTCCCCACCAAAACGCTGTCCCCGAAACCTAAACCCTGTTTCCATGGCGTTGCTCATTTGATTCTCAATTTTCTGGGGAATGTCCCGAAACCCTTTACACTTTCTGTATAGCCTTATACGACTTGATTTATTTACTTGACTTGCTCACCTCAGTGAATCCAATGCGAGTCAGTTGAACTACTCGAAGTTTTTGAACTAATTGAGACAATTGATGTGATTGAATAACCTGCACAAGTTAGATTAGTTGAACTAGTTGAGTTAGTTGGTTAAGTGAGTCAATTAGTCAATTCAATTAGCTCATTTGCAGTTAGTTGAGTTATGTAAGTTACGTAACTACTTGTTTTTCGTTTTACCCTCAAAATTGAGCTAATTGCCTGAATTGAACAAAGTAATTGGATTACCAGGCTCGTGTGAGGGTCATAGTCATGTAAAGCTGGGAAACAGAATCCGTTCCGGGATTTAGGGGTCATGGGTAGAGCCTAGTAAGGAAATTCATACGTGTTAAGAAGTACAGGTATCAGCAAATACTGTAAATACCAGGCTTCTTGGCTAGTTCGTACTTATGAACACGTGAAGATAGGTAGCATGAAGCACACCCAGAAGAGAGAGTGTGGATCATGGGGGGAGACCATGTACATATATACATGTGTATATATATATATACACATTAACTATATATATATGCATATATATATATAGAAACAATACTGATATATCCTTGCAAAATCCATATGATCCTCGAATAGTCCCTATATAACGCATACACCATCTCCATGGAATCCCCACAAGAGTCCTATACACCCTTACATAATCCCAATGTAATCCTTCCGGAATCCCTGTAAATCTTCATAGCACCCTAGACCCAAACCCCAAAACCTAAAGCCTCCAGGTGTGGGCGTCCTTCATTGGCATGGCGGGTTTCGCTGTGATCTCCGGTTCTTTAAGCTCGGTCCTGGATGTACAGCTGCGGAAGGACTTGCAGGTTAGGGTTTAGAGCCTAGGGCTCTTGGTTTGCAGTTAAGGGTTTAGGGTTTGGGGTTTAGGGAGGCTTGGGGCTGAGGGTTTAGGGCTTAGGGTCTAAGATTTGGGCGTAAGGTTTAGAATAAGGGGAGATTTGTAAATCCAACCCCTATGATGGAGAGTCCAATAGAAAAGAACGTGGAAAATGAAAGGGCAACTGTGGTCAGATGAGCTATACTCTAAACTCCCTAGAGGGGCCTTATATAAGGGATTTTGCAGGAGAGCATTTTACGGGTTATTATGGGGGATACTAGGAGTCTAGACTAGAGCTCATATAGACTTATATACGGTTTTCTGTTAGGCAATACAGGGGCTTCGAGATTCCAACCCCCAAAGGTAGGATCATGAAGTAGTGATTGGGTCGGCATGTTAGGTTTGGGGTTGCCAAAAACCCTTAAACCCAAAACCCTAAATCCTAAAACCCACTTATTACTTTAGGGTTGCAGTTTGAGACTCTGTCCACCAGTCTGGGGCTTCGGGTGCATAGGGTTTAGGGCTTAGGAAAAGCCCAGGGCACATAACCAAACCCCTAAGTACCTGGAGGTACAGTCATGGGGATACTACGGCCCCCCAATACATGGGCCCTTACAGATTAAGGACCTTAACTGGGGTTATTGAGGACTACTAGGGCGTTTTAGGCCGTATCTTTATAATCCTTCTAGAAGTATGGCATCATGAAACCCCAAACACTCGACCTAAACCCTGGACGCTTTACTTAGTGGCCTTCAATGGTCTCAGCAATCCACTTTCACTAGCCATGAGACAACAGTATAGGGAACATGACTGGGAATTGAAAAGGGACGAAGGGGAGAATCCCTTCGTCCTTTTCTTTTTTTGCCATCGGGTCCAATAGAGGACAGCGACGAGTCAGATGACAAGCTCCTTCGCAACTTTAGAGTGGCTTCGCAGTCCAAAACGGTGGCAGTCTACATGCTCTTGCCACTGCTCCTACCCATCCTATCTTCTTTGCCAATGGGTACTAAAAGCGTGCTCCTGCCAGTGCAGGGGATCCATGTGGTTGGAGCCCAGATGATGGTTCAAGAGGAGACGCTCTTGTGCCCGGTCTACGATAAGGAAGTGTGCGCGCACACCCTCTACGCGATGTGCGTGTCTCTTGGGATGACGTTCGTCTCCTTCAGGAACCTCTGGATATTCAAACCTGCAGATATGTCAAACGAAAGGCTGTTGGAAGTCTTGTCAAGGCTCAATCCCATCGAGGAGACCCCGCATTCTGATGGCGAATCCGAAGAGGCTTCGACTTCCGAGTCAGCACGTGAGTGACAGCAGGGAATTGCTTTTGTCGCTTGCGGCATTTGTTTCCGATCGGCGCCGGCTTCAGCAAGCTGACGGAGTCAAGCTTGCAGCTGTGGCTTGTTTTGGCTTTGTACTGTTGAAATTGCATCGCCGCATTGCCGATCCCAGGGCACATGTCGTAGCGCTGCGTGGACACACTGTTCGCGCAATACAGTTTTGAGGCAGGTATGCACAGAGTCTGAGCTCGACAGTTCCTGCATACACGCGTACAGCGATGAGATTCAGGCTAATTCGTTCTTGGAACGCCTGCTTGCAGTCTGGTAGCTGTCTGAAGACAGCTCTCATGCCCTGCAGTAGCTGCGGTTTGAGGCAAACACACACATTAGCCTTGCTGCCATGAACCTTGTTTGTGGCTCTTGCCGTAGTTGCAGCTGCTGCTTTGTATTTAGTTACCCTACTGCTACCTTGATTACTCAATTGGAATGCCAACTGGTAAGATGATTGTCTACGCTATCATGGAATCAGTACTTTCACCATCATCACCTGTGTCCTCGTGGCCTGGGCCACAACTCCATTTGGACCTCTGTTGGCTATTGTGGTGTTGGGGGGCTGTGTTTTTGTTTCGTATGTAGCCGCCTCACAAGGGAAAATAGATTCAACTTCCAGATGAAGACCACCAGCCGGCCTTTTAATGAGATTGCTGCTCTATGGCCACGTAGAAGTAACTTAGAGGGTTTCACAGCCCCAGAACTCGCTGGCTTCATGATGCACCTGCAGCCCAGGCTTAAGTGCTTGAGGCAGAAGCCATCTTTGACCAGGAGTTCCGTGTATGTAGATATTATCAGGTATGTCATGAGTTGGAAATGGCCTTACTAGGTTCAGGAATTATTGGTTGTTGAACGTAGTAGCCACGCCGTACTGCAGGTGAGTGAAACTCAATGTCTTCAAGAAAGAGGGTTTAAAAGTTGCCGAGGATTCTCATAGGTTCGCTGGATGTTGATTCTATAGCATTTGCAGGTTTGCATTGAGATTTTGTTGACTGATGACAGTAGCTTACGCGCCGCTGTGATGAGCAATGATGCTGAAAATTGGTATTTGCAGCCATGAGGCAGCAGGCAGATTCGGACGAGGCCTCCTAGAGCTTACAGAAATGGCATGCTAAACCTTACACGCCCAAGCCTCTACCCCCAGTGTTGGTAGCAGTGGAAGGGGACTGCAATGGCTTGTCGGCAGTGCTGCGGCCGCGGCTGCCGCTATCATGGCCGCATCTCTGCAGTCATACTCGAACATTGCGAGGCTGATGCTTAGGCTGTTACTGAAGTAAATGGCGGCTCTTCGATGTCGAACTGTGGACATGTAATGAAAAACCTGAACAGATAGGAATCGGATACTTTTAGTTGCCAGAGCATGCCTACAATGAACCCTAAGCTTGGAGCCCACGACGTGACCTGTTATGAGTGCCGCATTTGCTATCTGTACGTAGATGCTTCCTGCACAGAGGCCCCCAACTTCTTGAGAGCCTTTGTATGAAAAAACACCCCCCCCCCCCTGTAGTACATACCATTACTGCTCGTATTGTTGTACTACCACTATTGCTACGAGTTTGATTATGACCCTTGCTACTGTTGTTTGTATTCTGACGACTTTGTAGATCTAGAGCAGCCTGAGGCCGACACGGACAGCGCAGCTGTATGGGCTGCCAGGAAGCTGCGAATGCTCCCCGACCTGAACTGGAAGCTACTGTTTTATTCAGAGGCATAGGGTCGGGGAACTTAGTAGTCATACTGGGCATAACTGAGGTTCCTACATGGCTGATAGGCTTCTAAGTATGCTTACTACAATACGCCCGCTGCAAGCTTCTTGCGCAGTCCCGACGCATCATTCTCGTGTTCGTTTAAGTCCTGGATAACATCCATGAATGATGCTTTTGTCATGCCTGTACGGCATGGTTCTTTGCGTAAGAGTTGAGTGCGTGCTTGGGAGCACTTGGAGTTCTTGCAGACATGGGGTGGGCGAAAAACTGAAGGATGCTGGTCACTTGCAAGGCCCAATCTCCTGGGAAAATCCTTGCGTCTTGAGAGCCGCACAAGGGATTGCAAGATGGCCCATACCCAGGTTGCAATCACCAACGGACGACCTCCCGCCTGCGCGCAGTGTGGTCGGAGAGACCCTTCCGGGCGGGTCGACGAGCGGCAGACGAAGCAGTTTTACTGCTCCTCATGCTGGGCATCCTATGAGTCAGACCTGGCCTCAGACAATGAAGTCTTTTTCCCGAGCTTGAGGTGAAAAGGGACATAGAGCCAGTCACCCTAGGACCGCTTGGTGGAGTACTTTGACACGAAACAGGAGGTCGAGGCCAAGTGTGAGCAGCTGGCCCAGATGATCTCCAAAGCCCGGCACATCATCGCATTCACAGGTGCACAGGGCTGAGGGTGCTGCAGTGGATCTTGTTTGTGCCAGTAGTGGTCTAGACGGGCCATGGTTTTTTTTTCAA